TTATTACTTCATCAATGTTGAATAATTTGCTAAATATTTCATTTACTTTTCTCCATGCTTTATTTGTATGACTCTTATTGTATTCAGCAACCAATTTTGAATTCTGTATTAGCATAAATAGTAATTCAAGTGTATTCACTTTAGTACTTTTAAAAAAATTAATAAACATATTTTTCACATTCATACATTCTTTAATAACCTGGTTGACACAATAGTTTCATGAACTTATGGAAATTGATCCAACAGTAAATACACAATACTTTGGAATCCTTGGTGCTCTCTGAGCTTCACTAACCCTTTTGCTCTCTCGGTAAACCCCACCCACTCCCTTCTAGCACTGAAGATGTTACCTATCAGGTAATGAAATGTCTGCAAGCAAACAACCTAGCTCAGAGAGCACCAAGGGCCCCTTAGTTATAAACCCTGAGCTATAAATATTTTCTTCTATTGATAACAAAGTACTTTCTTGTAAATTCCTTTTTATGATCAAGTTGTTTCATTTTCAAGCGTGTAATTATGGTAGTATTTGATTATAGCAGCTAAAAGAGCTGAATTCTTTTTCCTGACCTCCCTTCTGCTATTCTGATAAGCAGTAGTGACATGGCAATAAAACAATAAACTAATTTATTTAGTTTAAACATTTTAAAGTTAACTCACTTTCTCTTCTGGAGATATGTGCATCTTATAATCTCAAAGTGTGCAGAGCTACATCTAGATTCTGGCCCACTCTCACTCCCTTTGCAGTTAAGTGATTACATGGCAGCTAGACTTGTCTCTTTCAGGCTGGCAGGACATGGTTTTCCTCTTTTCAGCTTCTCTCTTCAGTTTCCACAGAAGCTATCTGTATCAGGATAAAATTACTGTTTTATATCCAGTTGTATTTTCCTTTATGTGTATTATAGTAATAAAAACAAACAAACAAGAAAAATCCATGCCCGCGGCAACTTGTAACATAATTATTTCATACTATTCCAAGCAGCTTCCATACCACAGGCCTAAAAATTATCAATTACTATAAAAAAAAAAGTTGCAAGTCTGAACGTGCTTCCTTCTTCCCTCTTTTATCTTCATGTGAATTAGGGAAAGCCTGTCTTACACCACTTCATAAATTACTACCTTCATATGGGTTTAAACCATGTTTACTGTGAATTGCCTTTGTAGGGAGTCTTCCCTCTCTGTCATGGCTATCCTCTAAATTCACTACAGTACAGTACTCCAGGAGAATACCATGGGTGATTATATCCAAAGTATTTAGAGTATTATTATATGGGTGATTATATCCAAAGTATTTAGATCTACCAGTATAAAGAAAACTGAATGCCTATCATACAAGTGAGAGTTCATCCACAAGAGGTCACTGTTGCCTCTTTCCCAGAACTTTTCCAACTCAAGTCCTACCATTTTCTTTAAGATCTTCCTTAAAACTGCAGGGTTGGAAACTGAGGGCAAGATGTGGGATCAAGAAATCACCTTTTTAAAGAGAATGCATGACTCTGTTTTTGGGCAGCAGGACAACAAACCACCTCAAAATCCACTCCTTCATCCCTGCCTTAACAACTCAAAGAAGGAAAGGAAGGACAGAGGTTGAGTCCCCACGTGGCAGAACTGAAAATATCAAGAAATCTATCTATAACCTTAGAGACGAGAAAATGGAAAGATTTTAGAATTAAAATGAATTCAAACTAGATATAAGGATAAGATGTATTAGTATTCCTTTTGCATTCTGTAAAATCTGCTATTAAGACCTATATTGCTGCAATATTTGATGCTGAAAAACAAATCTATAATAGGAAGATATAACATGCATTAAATTGTAGCCTTTGACTATCTGTTCACATGAAATAAGTTGCTTCACAAGAGTGCTTGGTTAAAGCCTAAGTCATTTTATGTTACAATGCTTCTTTTATTCTGAGTGACATTTTAAAAAAGGTACTGAAATTAAATGCTACAAACCCTTCCCCATCCCCATTAATTAAAATGTAATATTAAAAAATCTATGTGGCGAAGCTTGTGCTTTGGAGAATGCCTGAAGGTAATTATTATGTTGCTTATGAGTGAGGTCTCTATTTGCTACTTTTTATTAAATTTAGTGAAGGGGGGGAAAAGTCCTGGTATGTCACATGACACCACGAGTTTGTATCTACAGATTCTTCCTTGCCTTATCTTTAGTTAGCACAGCTCTTTCAACTTTAGTAAAAACCATTACATAGATGCAGGTCATATACCTTTGTTAAAAGTTATTATACATTATAATGTCCTTTTATCCTTGCAACAACCTCAAATTTCAAAAATTAATTCTTGAAGACTCTTACTATCATGGTTTCAACACAGAAAATTTTTTAAAGCTGATGCAGGCCTGCAAAATAAAGCACTTTAGAGTTTTTCCACTAATGTAACAAAATTGTTTATTGTCTCTCAAAGCTATCATTTTATGGGGTGGAGGGGTCCCGTTACCATGGTGATGAGTGCACCATTGGGAGACCTGAAAGAAGAGGTTAGGGCTGAATTATGATAAAGAATTTATACATACGTGGTTGCTTAGGACTTCAAAATAAAAATAAAACAATTACCCCAAGCTCATTATTTCACACCATACTTTCTTATAATTTAAATTTTAGGTTTCATCATTCTTTTCCGAAATAAGCATACCTATGCCCAAATTATCTGTTTCTCTGAATTGCATTTGTGACTTTATTATAAAGTCCTTGACATGTTCAAACAGCAATAGCACTTAGACTTACAGGTGAAACTTGAAAAATTAGAATATCATGCAAAAGTTCAGTTATTTCAGTAATGCAACTTAAAAGGTGAAACTAATATATGAGATAGACTCATTACATGCAAAGCAAGATAGTTCAAGCTGTGATTTGTCATAATTGTGATGATTATGGCTTACAGCTCATGAAAACCCCAAATGCACAATCTCAGAAAATTAGAATATTACACGCAATCAATAAAACAAGGATTGTACATAGAACAATATCGGACCTCTGAATAGTATAAGCATGCATATGTACTCAGTATTTGGTTTGGGCTTTTGCAGCAATTACTGCCTCAATGCAGTGTGGCATGGAAGCTATCAACCTGTGGCACTGCTGAGGTGTTATGGAAGACCAGGATGCTTCAATAGCGGCCTTCAGCTCTTCTGCATTGTTCGGTCTCATGTCTTTCATCTTTCTCTTGGCAATGCCCCATAGATTCTCTATGGGGTCCAGGTCAGGCGAGTTTCCTGGCCAATCAAGCACAGTAATCCCATGGTCATTGAACCAGGTTTTGGTGCTTTTGGCAGTATGGGCAGGTGCCAAGTCCTGCTGGAAAATGAAGTCAGCATCCCCATAAAGCTCATCTGTGGAAGGAAGCATGAAGTGCTCCAAAATCTCCTGGTAGATGGCTGTGACAACCCTGAACTTAAATGAAGCAGTGGATGAACACCAGCATGGCTCCTCAAATCAATACAGACTGTGGAAACTTCACACTGGACTTCAAGCATCTTGCAATGTGAACCTCTCCATTCTTCCCTCCAGACTCTGGTCCTTGGTTTCCAAATGAGATGCAAAAGTTGCTCTCATCAGAAAAGAGGACTTTGGACCACTGATCAACAGACCAGGTCTGTTTTTCTTTAGCCCATGTAAGACACTTCTGATGTTGTTCTTTGTTCAGGAGCGGCTTGACAAGAGGAATATGACATTTGAAGCCCATGTCCAGGATCCATCTGTGTGTGGTGGCTCTTGATGCACTGACTCCAGCCTCAGTCCACTCCTTGTGAAAGTCCCCAACACTTTTGAATGGCCTTTTCCTGACAATCCTCTCCAGGCTGCGGTCATCCCTGCTGCTTGTGCACCTTTTTCTTCCACACTTTTTCCTTCCACAGAACTTTGGGAACATCCAACTTCTTTTGCAATTACCTTTTGAGGCTTTCCCTCCTTATGGAGGGTGTCAATAATGTTTTTTTGCACAACTGTCAGGTCAGCAGTCTTTCCCATGATTGTGATTTATACTGAACCAGACTGAGAGACCATTTAAAGGCCCAGGATCCCTTTGCAGGTGTTATGGCTTAATTAGCAGATTAGAGTGGGACACTTTTGAGCCTAGAATATTGAACCTTTTCACAATATTCTAATTTTCTGAGATTGTGGATTTGGGGTTTTCATGAACTGTAAGCCATAATCATCTCAATTATGACAAATCACAGCTTGAACTATCTTGCTTTGCATGTAATGAGTCTATCTCATATATAAGTTTCACCTTTTAAGTTGCATTACTGAAATAAATGAACTTTTGCACTATATTCTAATTTTTCGAGTTTCACCTGTATACACCCCTTCACGGTGCTTTATGTGTGTTAAATCTTTATGTTGATGGCGCTAAAGCAATATGGAAGTTAGTCTCTGCATTTAACTGCTACCAACATCAACGCCAAAGCAATAGCCTTGGCTGACTAAATCGTGTTTTTTTTTTTTTTTTTGCCTCACGTCCTTCTACAAGAACCACATAAAGTTTTGTAAGTTTTCAAAGCCTCGGGATTACTACGAAGAAGAAAAAAAAAAACTTGCCCTGACCTCGGACTTTCCTGCTCCCCCACCGCCAAGAATTACCAAGTAACTTATCGGGAAAGCAGGATCGTTCTGCATCGCCGAACTTTAAAAGGCTTGATATTAAGATTTCCCAAGTCCAGGGAAACGAGCTCTCCTACCTATTGTCAAGCCAACCAACCAACCACCCGCCCTTCCCACCACAACCAAGTCACGGGCTCCCCCCATCAAAATAACAGCTTTCGGCTTGGCCCAGCACAGTCCCGCCTCCCAGAATCTTGGACGCCGCCTAAGTCGCTCCTCTTAACCACGGCGCCGAAGGTTGTAGGTGGCCTGGGCGCCTGAAAAAATCCGTGCCCTAAGACTGAGGCGCTTACGAAGGGACGCTAGGAAGCTTGCACGAGGCTAGTATGATGAAGCGATTCCGGCGTTCGCTACCGCCAGCTCTATGAAATGAGGACCCCCACCGCTCGCGCCCTGCCTGTCCCGCGCGCGCGCCCTCGCGGCCTTCTCTTGGTCTTTTCCTTCCCCCCCCCATAACTCGGTGCAGAGGTAGCGGTGTAAGTGGCCGGAGTCGCGCGGACGGAGGCCGCCGTTCCCCCTGCGTAGAACCCACCGAGTCTTCTTCCTGGTGCCTTCCCATCTTCCACTTCTTCACACACACGCACGCGGGCGCGCGCAACTCTCACGGTGAGGTGGGGAAAAAGTAAAGAAGAGCGGTTTCGGGAAGACGGTTGAGCGCGGCGGCGGCGGCGTGTGGGGGTGGGGTGAGGTGGAAGCGTGGGATGTCCGCGCGTTGCCAATCACGTGGGCGCCGAGCACGCGCCCGCGGTGTTGCGGTCGGACCTTCAAGGATCAATCAGGTTGCCTAGGATCGTTGGGCGCGCGCTGACAGGTGCGGTCCGGGTCGGAACTGGCCGCGCGCGCGCGCGTGCGGGGGGAGAGAGAGGATGCAGGCGGGCGGCGGGAGGGAACGTGAGAGACAGGAGGTATTGGAAGACTGCCTTTGCCTTCCCGGTGGGACGCGTTTTCCGTCTCCCCGACGTCTGTCCCCTCTGCCGTCCCGTCGGCTTCCTTTTTCTCGCTTCCTCCCTCCCCTCCCCTCCCCTCCCTCCGAATCCCGTAACGCGTTGTTCTTCTCTCCCTCAGTAAGCGATGCCCTCGGCCACCAGCAGCGCGATGGCGAGTAGCGGCAGTAAAGCGGCCAACGAGGCAATGGTAGCGGCGGCTTCTTCTCAGGCAGCGGTTTCGGGCGGCACAACGAGTTCGGTGCAGACGGAGGCCATGAAGCAGATTTTGGGTGTCATCGATAAGAAGCTGCGTAATTTGGAGAAGAAAAAGGTACGGAGGCTGGGTCTGTCTCTCTTTCTCCCCCTCTTCCCCTCCCCCCTTTTCCCGGGAGTTGTGAGGGTGGGAATTAACGTTGACTGGAGCGAGTGGCGGTAACTGAGGAGACTTTCCCTTTCCTTGCGCTTCCCCGCCTGCTCTTTTGTTTCTAGTCGGAGGGGCGGCGTTTTTTTCAAGTCTGAACGCGCTTTCCGCGTCCTTTTGGCTTTCAAGGGCTGCTTTTCTTCCCCCTCACCCTCCCTCGCCGATCCAAACCGGCTAACCGGAGACTTGATCTCTCGCCCTCCCCCCCCCCTGTACTCTTCCCCCCCCTGTACTCTTTCCCCCCCTCCCTTGCACATGGAGCCGGCCCGGACCCAACATGGCGGCGGCGAGAGGCAGCCAGGCTTCCCGGGGAGGGAGGCTCATTGTGTGAAAGGCTTCTTGCACAAAGGCCCGGCTGTTTGTTTGCTCGCTCGCCCGCCCGCCCGAGTCGCTCAGCCCTCGCTGTCCGTGTGGGTGCACGCGCGCGCCTCTTCCTTTCTCCCCCATTTTAGTTGGTCCTTCCTCTCCGTGTGGAGAAGCAGACGCGGCGTGAAAACGCTCCCTCTCCCTCGGCCTCCGGGAAGATGGAGGGGGGGGGGGGAACGCCCCTGCGAAAGGAAGTGTTGAAACTTTCGGCACGTTTTTTATTAAATGCTTTTCTTTTTTAGTTTACTTATCGCCGAACGGTGGCGGGCCGCATCTAGACTTAGTGAAACGAAAAGACCCGAGTTGCTATCTTAAAAAGAGCAGCGTTATTTATATGTTACCTTCGAAACGCTTAGATTTAGCGGTACGACGTGCCTTGCGTCCTTTTGTCAACATTCAGGCCCTACGTTGCTAAGGACGGAACCCCCTAGGCCAGGGGTAGGGAACATTGGCTCTTCTATCACTTATATATGTCCTACATTTGTATATTAAAGAGTCCCACTCAAGTCAAAAATTGATTTCCCCCACAGCTGAAAAACCAGTAGGCCAGGGATGGTGAACCTTTTCTGGCTCACTCAGGAATTCTGGGAGTTGAAGTCCATAAGTGACAGAAGAGCCAAATTTCCCTACCCTGACCATGAGTTTTGCTCCCAAATCAGTATTTATTGGAACAAACTTTATAATAACTCATGCTGGCTTTATGAATCTTTGGTTAAAATTTGACACTGACTGCTCTTACAGGAACTGGTGAAAAGGGGTTCTGATGTGATGTACTAACACTGATCCTTTCTCCCCCAATCACTGGGCATCACTCTGAAGGGGAAGGGGGTAAAGTCACTATAGAAAAGGAAATCCTCTCTTGATTCTCTTTTTCTTTATTCCAAAAGAATAGAGATCCCATGGAGCAGTGAATGAAGTGGTATTGTGAAAAAGAGGGGAAGGAACAAAATTCATCCTCCCTCAGTTTCTGCTGGTTGAAATACTCTGAATGGAACTGTATTTGCTACATGCTCCTACCACTAGATAGAAAAACCACGGTCTGTGGAAATGTTCATTAAACTGTTAGTTAAGTGATCACAAAAGAACTGTACAAGTATTTTAAATATCTTGCCAGGTGTTTCTAAAATGATAGGAAATGTAAAAAGATAGCTGTGATGGAAGAGAAGCAGCAGGATGCTTCTTAGTACATTGCTGTATTATGGGGAGTATAATGAATGACTTTAAACATTCAACTCATTGAAAAAAATAGCTTTTATGTTTATGTATTAAATACTTGTTTGAGCAAGACTTGCTTTCATCTAAATATGTGTATAAAAACCATTAGATTTTTATATTATATGTTGCCTTTAAGTCCAATAAATCAGTGAAAATGTTTAATATCCTTTTTTGAATTAGTAATAAGAAATCCATATGTTAGGAAGTTATTTAGACTCACTTTACGCAAGTCTGCAATTTTTTAAAAACTCACTTCTAATCTTTGTACCAATTCTGCCTTTTTCAAAAGATCATAATAGCTTTGGGGCTATTTTATCCTGCTTTTGCAATAAGATTAGAGTTTAGTACACTATGCAGGACTGCTGCTTTATTTTAACCTTAACAAATTTATTAGGGCTCTACTGTACAGCATGGCTTTGAATTTATTTCAATAAAATTGCTTTGTAGTACAAATGCGGCCCATGTTAGTGATTCATTAAATTAGGTGGGTTTTCCTTGGATCATATAGCTACTTTAGTTAACTGCACCTAATGTTGCTTTTACATTGAGGTGTTCTTTTCAGAATCAAACCCAAAGCATAAAATCTTAATCCTTCTCTACTTGATTTAAGAAATTTAGTTTTGATTTAACATTTGTAAAGGAAATTTTGTTGCAACATATAAAATATATTTTATGATAACTGCTAGGGTATTAAAATTTTAGATTGCAGTATTTGGTTGATACCATATTTACTTAAGTAATTTCTAAAAATACTAATTTTGAAATTAAGGTATCTGCTCTTTTTATGCCTAATATTGAATAAAAAATTTTATACATTCCAGCAAAGATCCTAACTACAGAAGTACAGGTTTGAATGTAATGTTAAATCATACTAAGACAAGCATGGCATCTAATCTGTGCGGTGATCCAGATTTTGCTTCTATTTTTGATTAATCACAATTTAGTGGGTCATTTGAACCAAAGCAGATTTCAAAATCACAATTATGGTAATAAAAATAAGCCAAGTTCAAATTGTATTTTATAACTCATGTAGGTTCTCATAATAATAGTAGAAAAACAGGAGTTTGCAGTCTGCAGATGATTTTGTTTAAGGAAGGGAGTCTACCATGAGCATGGCAACCCAGCTATACAAAGTTTGTTCTTATAATGCTAAAGTAAAATTGTGAAGACTATCTGGTGTCCTTCAGATTATATCTTCGAATATAATTTGTAGATCTAGTGTTAGTAATCCAGAATATCTTGAATAGCCTTCTCTAGTGCTTCAAAAATGATGGAATGTCATCCAGGTGAGGGATTTTGCAAACTATATTACCAGATTAATGAAGGCTTAACTAAAGCGTGTCAGATTGCCTGTATTCAGCTTAAACTCTGGCTCACTTACGTTTGGGCAGAACCAAAGAGATCTGACATTGCTATAGGTAGTCACAATATTGGAATGTTTAATCTCCACAAGAATCCATTTTCAAGAATATCCTGTCTCAGCATACATGTAGCGATAAAATCTTATGAGTGCTGAAATGATGCCTAAAATGATTTTTACAAATTTTAAATGGTAAGACCATCTGACTGGACAAGACATATTTTAATAACTTCCTCAAATTAAACTTATCAGTAATGCAGTAGAATTTATGTCTAGATGTCTGTTAAAAATATTAGGAATACATTTCTGCTCGTATGTTGAGATCTCTGGATAGGGGATACCCAGTATATGTGTGTTTAGCAGTAACCTTGCATCAGATAAAAAAAATTAAATATTTGTTTCCAAAGTAAAGTGTCCTTATAAAAGCTAGTTAAGATTTTACTTCTGAGCTTCTGGTTTTTAAAAAGCAAATATTTAGTATAATAATATTTAGTATTTCTCACCCAGTGGAGGGGAGGCTTACATATACCAAATGACTGGTCCACAGAGTTCCCCTGTCTGGGTTGTATTATGCTTATGAAACATTATGTTAACATATGCAGTAATGAACTACTATCCCTGGTTGAGATTTGGTATATGTAAGCCTTCCTTCCATTGGCGAAGAAGCACTATTTTAAAGAAACAGAAAATAGTAAAGTTATGATCTTCAGTATTTTCTTGAAAATGAGAAGATAAATGCAAATCCTGGATAAAATAATTTTGCAGATAATTTTATTGTGTAATCAAATTAATATGTGTAAAACTAATACTGCATCATATACTTATACTGGTCTTAAAGCTAAGGTTAATTTTTATTGGATATTGTTATGCATTGTAGCCAGGTTTACTCCAATAGCTTAAGTATTCCTAGTGTTTTGCTAGATAGATGCAAGTTATGCAGAAATTAGTTAAAATTCTTTATAAGTGATTTGTATCTTTAAAAGGTCATTTCTGCATATTAGTCTATTTGAGAGTTGATGTCTGATTAATTTGGGACTGAGTTACTATGAACCAAAATATATTAGTGATAATATTGCAGATAGCTGTTGTTTATTTTTCCTATTTTGTGAACATCAGATGACATGCACAAAATAGATATTACAAAGTAATATAATGTTAACATTCCCATTGAGTTACATCTTTATTTCTAAATTTCTGGAAAAATATGGCATTCTTTCCACATTAAAACAATATTAAGAAATAATTTACTTTGTAGGGGTTTTTTTGGGCAGATGGAAATTGACAATTTTGTAGGCATGCCTGAATTACACTGTGCCTAAGTTTCCTAGAACTATGAAAACATTGTACTGTGGTATAAAATTGACAATAGAAATATTACAGGAAGCAAATGATGCATTCTGACACAGGCTAAAGGTTCAAAATACCTTGAATATTGCAAAGTGTTGAACCTTTTAGGGAAATGTTTGTGATCTACAAATTAGCAACCCCTCCTTCCTTCTTGCAACTCAACAATTGGCAAGATGTACAAGAAAATCTTTAAAATCAGACAAGCTAACACTGGGAACAATTAGTCCATTGCACTTCCTGATATTTAACAATTTAGTTTTAAAGGCCATAATACAAACTTTGAACCTTCCCCAAACTAGCCAAGAAGTATAGGTTTTTTTTCTGAAAGAGTAATTTTAAACTTTGTAATACTGCAATTCTCTAAAATAATAAATATATGTACCCAATGCCCTAACAAAATGAAATATTATATTTGGATTAATGTTTTGTGGTTTTGGGGTGATTTTGACAGATAGCTCAATACATAGGCTTAACCCTTGTGACACTAAATTTCTGACCATCCACTGGGATATTATAGCCCATACTTTAAAAATCCTTGTTCTAAAGAGTTATAAAGTTTGAAACACCTACAGTGGTGAAAGTATGTGAATCTTCTGTAACTAATTGTAACCCTGCAATGTTGGTCACAGCTTCATTTAACTATTAAAGAGGAATTCTGGTTAAACAAACAGTATAATGTGCCATGTCCTTTTTGAACATGCTAAGTCAATGTTCCGTGTTTATGGAGTGGTGTGGTGGTGTATACAATATGGTATGATATAATATGGAAAGCTCAGGGATATTATCTCTCTAGCATGTATTTGTGGGTCTTTTCCTATTAAAAATACTGTGCTCCATAGCATAATTTTATAGAACTAAATCATGTCTCAATCAGAAGACATTTCTGCAGACCTTATAAAGAATTGTTGATGCCTGTGAGGTTGGGCAGGATTGTTTGACAATGTACAAACATTCTTCCCAGGAATAATCCAAATTTTCCAAATAATAAGGCATATGATTCCCCAGTAGAGAATACAAAGAGACCATACACAATCTGCAGGCCACTCTTGTCAGCATAAATAAGGAAAATTTTGAACAAGAATAGCATGCATGGAAAGATACCAAAAATAAAACCTTTGTGCTCAGGAAAGTTCTTTGCTGCCCATCTCAGATTCACCAAGGCCTGCCTGGTGAATAGTAGACTACTGAATTGATCTTTCTGGAGTTAAAAGGAAACAATTTATACCATTGAAAGAAAGAAACTAATTCCATTATGAAACATGGCAGCACGGAATATCATGACTGGACAGGTTGCAATCATTAAGGCAATAATGGATTCTGGATTGTACAAAATTCTACACAAAAAAGTCTTAGTCTCTTAATCTATTAGCTAAAGCTTAAACAACATGCACAATACAACATGAAAACAACCCTAAGCACCCAAGTAAACATAATTGCTGGAGTAAAATAAGTATTTTGGAATGCTTAAGTCAAAGCCATGGCCTAGATCAGTGGTTCCCAACCTTTTTTTCGCCCCGCAGCCCTAAAGAAATTTCACTCGAACCTCGCACCCCCTGAAATTTAGACTTTAGGAACTACTGAACGCGTTAAATATATGGTAGGATTGAATCTTTTCAGCTATGTATGTGACGGCCACTAAATAACGATACTTAACTCTAAAATGAAAACAAAGTTAATCCATTGCATAATAAATAAAAATGCCAACATATAGCCAATATCCTATTATTTACCTGGACTTTTCTCGCACCCCCTGGAATATCGTCTCGCACCCCCAGGGGGTGCGAGCACCCCAGGTTGGGAACCCTTGGTATAGATGAAATATGCCATGATCTGAAGTGAGCAGTTTATATAAAAAACAGTCCTAACATAGCAAGAGATTGAAGCCATTTTGTAAAGGGGACATGGGCCAAAATACCTACAGGAAATGTGAAATGATTACTTCTAAATGAGGATCCTCAATTATTGAATCTAAAATTTCATATACTGTATTTCATACCCAGTTAATATTTGCTCAGTAGGTTTAGTGAAGACAGGTCACAGTGCATTGCTTGGGTGGTGTTTGTTTAACCCTAATCTGGTTTTTTTTGATAGAACTTGGATGAAGTTCAGTTCATACTGTAGGCTACAGTTCTACAATATTATAGAATAAGGAGAAGACTAACAAATGTTTGTTTCTCAGTAGCAGTACTAACTAAAGATCTAGATGGCATTCTCACTCTCAAACTTCAGAAAATTGAGTTCAGAAGGATATTTGGAGATTGAGACCCGGTCTTTGGGTTCTTAAAACTATTAGTTTTAATAGCAATGTTAGCTTTGTAGTTATTTTTTTCTGTCTTTTTTATATTACATTTTATGGATTTGTGTTTTGTTGTTTTCTAATTTTAATTATATACCATTATGGGTTCTTATGGTGTGAAAGTATAAAGTAGAATACATTAATAAAAAGTGTTTTCAGTTGCAGTCATCCATTGCAATCTATTAAACAAGGGTTGAGAAATATATTTATTCTAATAAGTCTTAAGGAACAATGATTTCAAGAGATATACAAAATTTTCCCAATTTGAAATGTTTGAGTACTCAAAATACTCTCTTATGGGCCCATTAACTATTTTCAATTTAAAACAATCTGTTCTTAATGGCATACCAACTTTACTGGTGCTCTGATTTTTAATGCTACAAAACAACACAGGAATATTGGCAGTTTAGATTGTTTCACACACTTCTAGTAATACCGTGTTTCTCACATAATAAGGCCGGGCCTTATTTTTTTTTGAGCCCCCCAAAAACGGCTAGGCCGTCTTTTCGGCGGTGACTTAATTCCCCCCCCCTTGCATCCTCGCCAACAGCCGCTCCTAACGGGTGATCATGGCCAAGCGCAGAGAGCTCCCTACTCCCACCTTTGCTGCACACATCTTTGGCACCCGCCGCTGTTGCTTTCCCTTCTGCCCATTCTGCCGCCACGTTTGGAGCTGCCGCTTCCGTGTTTGGAGTGCCGCCGCCATTTGGAGCTCCAAACAGCTCCAAACATGACGGCGGGCGATCTTTTTATTTTGGTCCG